AGGCGCACCAGAGGGCAGCGACGGCAGGTGGCCGTAGCTGCTGCTGGCGAGAGACGCCCCTGACGCCAGATCCCCAAAGCTGCCCGCGCTGGCCAGGCCGCCGCGCCGCCGCCCGCCGCTCGCCGCCGCGCCCTCCGGCGCCGCCGGACCTCCGCCTCCGCCGCCGCCGGCGAGCCACGAGTGCACGTGCTGCTCCGGCTGCTGCTCCTGTTCCTGCTGCTCCTGCTGCTGCTGCTGCTGCTCTTGCTGCTGCTGGTTGTGGCGGGCGAGCAGCGGCGGCGGCAGCAGGCCTGGGGGGGCACCGGCAGCCAGGTCGCCCATGCTGGCCGAGCTTGGGAGCGGCCACGGCGCTGCGTGACGCGCGTCCTGCGGCGTCGCCGGCGGCGGCGGCAGCTGCTGCTGCCAGGGCTCATCAGGCTGCTGGTGGGGGACGGGCGCGTCCAGGGATATGCCCAGCATCTGGGCGGCCTCCAAAACAGATATGCCCCCGAGCTGGCCGGCCGCGTGCAGCGCGTGCAGGGCCTGCAGCTGCTGGAGCTGCTGCAGCTGCGCGGCAGCGAGTGCCTGCTGCTGCTGCGCATGCTGCTCGTGCTGTGTCTGCTGCTGCTGCTGCTGCTGCTGCTGCTGCTGCTGCTGGGACTGGGCAGCTGCCGCCGCCGCCGCTTGCAATGCGCCGCACGGCTCCCACGCCCGCGGCGACGGTGCCCGCGCGCCCCCCGACGCGCCGCGCTGCGGCGACGCGGGCACGCGCGGCGGCACGCCGGCAGGCGGAACGGGCGCTGGCGCAGCAGCGCCGAGGGAGCCGGCCGCGGGCGGGCCGCTGCTGCTGCTGTGCTGGGACCCCAGCGAGCCTGACAGCACATTCAAGGGGCCGCTGCCGCTGCCGCCGCCGCGCTCGCCGCCGTGCTGCACCGGCTGCGCGTGGCGCGCGTGGGCGGCCGTGGCAGGCGGCACGGGCACCGGCAGCGCCGCAGCCTTGGGGGCTGGCGGCGTGACCACCGGGTCGTCGCTGCTCCACAGGCGTGCCCGCTGCTGCTGCTGCTGCTGCTGCTGCTGCTGCTGCTGCTGCTGCTGCGCGCTGCCTGCCGCAGCCGCCGCCAATATGTCGCGTGAGATGTGCTCGATTTCGTCCTGGGGAGGTAGCTCGGCGCTCGCACATGCCGCGAGTGGCAGCTGCATCGTCGGCACCGGCGTCTCCGGCCCGCGCTGCCCCGGCGGCGCGGGTGGCGGCTGCCGCACGTGCTGCGCGTCCCGCTGCTGGGACTGCTTCACAGGGAGCTGCGCGCGCCGCTCACCAAGCGTCGCCAGCAGCGGCGATAGGCCGTCTTGGTCAAAAGCGTTTACCGCATCGCCCCCCGCCGCCACCAGCGCCAGTGCCAGCCCCTTCGCCGCTGCGCGCCGGTGCGCCGCCGGCACGGGCGCACCGCCGGGGCCGCGCCCCGGCGGCCCGGCGAGCAGCGGCGCGGCGGCGCGCGCGGCCTGCTGCAGCGTTGGCAGGTGGGAAGGCAGCACGCCTGCGGGGCGGCCGCCGTCGCCGCCGTGGCCCTCTGGGCCCGACAGCAGCAGGCCCACCAGAGCCAACACATAGAAAGGCAGCCCAGTCGCATCCTCAAACGCCCCCGCAGCCCCACCGTCCGCGCCGCTCGCACCCCCGCCCGCCGCGGCACCGCCATCGTCGCCGCCGTCGTTGCCGCCGCCGCCGCCGCCGCTCGCGGCTGCGCCGCCGCTGCCGCCGCCCCAGCGCTGTGCCTGCTCCAGCACCCACTCAACGGGCTGGGCCAACAGGCGCTTAAGCGCGTGCAGGCCGCCGCCCACCGAGCAGCAGTAGAGCGCGCGCAGCGCTACGGCAGCGCGTCGCGCATCGCGCGCGCCGGCAGCTGCAGCGGCGGCGGCGGCCGCGACGGCGCGCAGGGCAGGCCCGTCGTCCCCCGCTTCCTCTTCCTCGTGCTGCTGCCGCTGCTGCTGAGAGCCGTCAGGGCGCTCCGCCAGGGAGCCGACAAGGAGGAGGCATGAAAGGGACGCCTCGTCATCATCCTGTGTTTCACCAGACAGAGGCATGCCACAGGGCAGGGGTCACGAGCCTTAGAGGTTGTGCGTTGAGCAATGGACCGGCACACGACGGCAGGGATGCTGCCAGGCTTCCGGATGCAGCAATCAAAGGGCATACAAAGAGGCCGACTGGACGCCCCTGCGCCCCGCACCCAGCCCGCACCCCCTCAGACGCGCACCTCGGGTCCCAGCACAGCCAGGGCCTCAGCCGCCGCCGGCAGCACGCCGCGCCATAGGGCACCCTCGCGCACCTCGCCTGGGGCCAGCGCGCGGCACACGCGCCACAGCGCCCCCAGCAGCGCGCGCCGCCGCGCATCGCACAGGCTCTCTCGTCGCTCGAGCACGCCCACCAGAGCCGCGCACGCGCGCAGCGCCCGCCCGTCTTCCGCTTCAACCCCATCGTCCGGTGCCGCAGCCGCCGCCAGGTCAGCGAGAAGGTCTGCTGCTGCTTCGAAGCACGCAGCGTCATGGGCGCCCGGGCCGAAGAGCGCAGCCTGTGCAGCATCCGCGCCGCCCGCAGCAGCCAGGCGCCGGGTGTTGCCCTCGTGGCCGGCACAGAGCGACCGCAGCGTGTCAATCGCGTCGGAGACAGGCGCCGCACCGTTCTGCTGCTGCTGCTGCTGCCCCGCCGGCGCCGATGCTGAGGCATTCGCCGGGGCCGCCCATGCACCGGGAACCGCCGACGAGAGCAGCGAGACTCGTGCGGCCAGGGCCTCCACTGCGCCGGCCTCACCCAGAGCGTCCTGTGCTTGCCTGTGCGCAAGGCGCGGGAGACGGCAAAAGCGTGAAAGCCTGGCGCTCGCAGGCTGGCCGGCCGTGCGGCGTAGCATGTTGGTGCTCCCATTAGAAGGGCCTGCATCCCAGCTGCTGATTGCATGAGACATGGCCGGACGCCCGCCTGCTTGCCGTCACCCCATGCTCCCGCCGGCCCGCAGTCGCAGCCAGAGGCTGCGCACCTGGGCAAGTGGCCGCCAGCCGCGCCGCCGCCGAGGGCGCGAATCGCACGCGCCGCGGCCGCCTGAAGGGCTGGCTCCTCTGGGAAGCGGCGAATCTCATGCACAATGCGCCGCGCCGCGTCCTGCGCGGCGGGGCACTGTGAGAGCAGGGACGGCAAGGATGCCGTGTGATCGGGGTGGGGTGTGGGAGCCTAAGTGTGCCATGGCTTGAAGGTTAGTCGTCCTGTCACCCGCGCCGCCGACCACCGCATGCTGCTTCGCATCGAGTTACCCCTGGGCGGTCGGCGCAGGGGCCACGGCCCGTGAGCCGGCCTGTACGCTGGACTCCGACTTCCATAAGCGAGCATATGCAGGTCAGGCGCATCACCCTCCGCTCCGCCGCCCTGTGCAGACCTGCCATCCCATGGAGCCGCCGGGCTCAGGGCATGCCTGCGTGACCGCCTCGACCACCAAGCATGCGGCCTCCAGGGCCTGTAGCGTGCAAAACGCACCCAGATGACAGTATAGTTTAGAAAGATGGCGCCTTGACGGGCGCAGGGAACCCTGGGTGTCCCGAAGTGGGCCAGCAGTGGGGCTGACCGATTCGAGACGATCCTCCCTTTTGCCACGGCCGCATCGCGGCTAGAACGCCACAGTCAGGGCAATCTATCGCGCCCATGTCTCGGTTCCCGAGGGGCCGGTCTGCAACGACCTCCGCCCATTGCCTAGCCCCCACCCACTCCATGCCGTGGGAGTGACCCGGAACCCCCTGTGCCAGAGCCCGATCAAGGGCTCGTTAATAAGCCCTGCAAATGCAAGAGCCTTCACGGCTGCCTGGCCGGCGCGGGTGAGGCAAGCACCACACTCAGGGGCCAAGGGCAGCACTCACCTCTGCGTCCGTGCCTCCGCTTGCCTCAACCTTCATGATGTTGGGTACCTCTCCAACATGCTGTCCAGCCAAGTCCGTAGGGCTCCAAAGATCGACGACACTGGCGCTGGGGGGCCCATGGGGGCCAGTGCACGGGTCCACGCTTCCCTCAAATGCGTGGTTGGTGCTCATCAGATAGTTTCTTGCTAATGAGCCAGTGAGATCACCCTGGAGGGTGCCCAACGCACATCACGCGCGAGCGGGCTCATTCACTCCCCATTTCGCGCATCCTGTAAGAAACTCACTGGCAACCCGTTTGCATGCGCCCAAGCTCCAAGGGCTGCGTGCCATGTGCTGTGCACAGCCGGCCACAGAAGCTCTACAGCCCTGTGGTCTGCCGCCGATTGCCCCCTCAAAATCCCCTGACCGCCAGCTGCGGCCAGGCCAGCATGAGCAGGGAGGATGCATGGCAGCCGGAAGCCTCCTGGGCGGACCTTGTGTAGGTTCCTGCTGTCGTGGCCCCACGGCGTTTGTAACCCCCACATACGGTCATGCAGGGCACCCAGGCCATGAAGCCCGGTAAATTAGCATGCATGCGCCGAAAACCTGAGGCAGGAAGCAGACCCACATGAGCGCATGTGTTACATGCAGCCTGGCACCCAGCTCAACGTCCCAGTTTTGGGCCGCAGCTGCTGGCAGCCGCGCGCTTGCCGCACGCCGTGCTTCGCAAGGTGGGGCAGACCTCTCAGGCACCCTGGAAGAAGGCACGGAAACACTCTCTGGCTGCATCAGCGCGCAAACGCATCCATTCGGCCCCTTGTCTGCGCGCGGCAGCCCTGGAAATGCAGCACCCTGACCCAGCAAAACCCCGTGCAACACAAGACGCGTTCGCACTCACGCACACGCGCTGTTGCTCTGCCTGGCTTTGTTTTAGCTGGCCACTTTCCTATTGTGCCTGATTGCTAGAAATGTTTGACAAATGATGATCAGCCATGCTTACTCAGTAAGAAAATGTGATGTTGCTGTGAATGCGTGATGCGCCAAGCACACAGCAGTGTTTGGGGGTGTGTGCCTGCCTCCCAGTGTAGCCCACCATTAGGTGAGTGATGGGCGAGAAAGCGGCTTTCGTCGCCCTGAGTCAGCCTCCCCAGGGGTGCAGCAGCGCAATACACAACAGAAGCTGACGCGATCGCGGGGTGACAGAGTCAAACGCGGGCTGCAGCTTGCCCCAACGTCCGGGCCGTCAAAAAAACTGGTCCTGCTCGGCAGCTCCGGGTCACAGGGGTCACGAGCTCAGCGCGATGGGCCAGCCCGCAAAGCGATGCTGCCGCGCACTAGCTGGCCGCCCGCAGGACGTCCGCAAGAGGGCCTCGACGGCGCACGCGCGCCTCGCGTTACGCAAAGCTGCGCGGACTAAAACAGGGTTGGCAAGCGTGCGGGGCGGAGGCATCACGGGCACGACGCAGCTGGAGGGGGCACGGCGCCGCTGGTGGGGGCCGCGTGACGCCGCCGTTGCCACCCAGTGCGGCCGAGGCGTCCGGCCTGCTGCGCGGCAGCGGGCGGGACGCCGCCGCTGGCAGCGCTCGCGCACTTTGTGAGCTGCTGATGCGTTCGCCGCTGCTCACGTAGATCCCCGCAGAGTTTGTGCCGTTTTTCGCTGCCGCTGGGACATCACCAGTACTCAGCACGCAGCAGGCAGCGGCTGCCACCAAGGCAGGGTGAACGGCATGCCTTTGAGCCGCGCCGTGCCGCCGTGCGCCCTGGCACGCCGCGAGGCCGCCTCCGCGCGCCGCGACCCCCGACGAAACAGGCACCCCGCGCGGCCGGCGCCGGCGCCGAACGGCCTCCTAGGAGGCGCCCCCGCCCCGCGCCTCGCGCGCCGCGCGCAGCTGCTGCTGGAAGTCTGGCATGAGGTGCATGACGGGGGCCGCCAGGGAGAAGAGGCCGTTGAGGTCCACCACCTTCTCCAGCATGCTGGGGGTGGAGTAATTGGATGAGTAATCGGTTGAGTAATCGTTTCAGTAATGGGAATCGTCCACGAGGGGGTGGGGGGAGGTGGTTGGATGGGTGCGGGCGGGGTCCAGCGGGTGTGGACAACACAGGGATGGGCGGCAGGCGAGGGGCCGGCGCCCTGGGCGAGCGAGCGCACACACATGGGAGAGCCCGGCGCCTACTGCTATGCTGGGGCCGCGACGAGCACCGAGCACCCCCGGCCCGCCCGCCGCCCGCCGCACCGGAAGCCCAGCGCGACGCCGCCGACGTCCTTCCAGATGGTGCGGCCGATGGACGCGAATATGATGTCCGGCAGGTCCTCGGGCGCCACGGCCAGCTTCCTGAAAGCTTCCATCATCCCAATCTTGACGGGGCCGTCGTAGAACCTGGGGGTGGGGTGGGGGATTGGTGAGGGGCGGCCTGGTGCTCCTGTGAGAATGTGGGGCGTCGACACACGAATACGCGCCGGCCGCCGCGCCCCCGGCAGGCGGCCGCGCCCCCGACGCCGGCCCCTCCGCCCGCTTCGCGGCCCGCCGACGAGCCCCCGCGGCCCCGCGCGGCGGCCGCCGGGCGCGTCATGCTGTGCGCGCCTGGACGCCACTGGCGACGGGTGCACCGCGAGCACGTCGATGCCGAGCCACTTGACCTCCGGGGCCAGGCTGATGGCAAACATAGAGAGGAAGGCCTTGGTGCTGGCATAGGACACGGCGAACGGCGAGGGCAGCACGGCGGAGGCGCTCGAGGTGTACACAAAGCAGCCCTTCAGGTTGGCGTCCATCTGGGGGTCAGGGCGTTCGAATTCGCATTTCAACGGGGCGGTGGGCGGGAAAAGCGTTTGCGGCGCGGCCCGGGGCGCCGTGGTGGGGGTGCGGCGGGGCCGACCGCAGAGAGCGAGAGAAGAGGGGTTTGGGGACGGGGGAGGCCGCGGCGCGGCGGCGGGGCCTGGCGCTCCGCTCACGCACGCGCGTCTGGCGGGACATGGTGCAGAAGGGGCGGGCGCGTGCGGGCAGCTTGATCATGGGGGGAACCCGGGG